GACGCCCGCAAAGAGCCGGCTCTGGGATCGGCCGCCGATCGCAAGTCGTGGATCCGATTCGAGGACAGACCCGATGGTGATGTCGGCGCCGTCGACGAGTTTAAGGTGGAGATGCCGTCCCCGGAGTCCAGCGGTTGTGCGACAATACAGCCGACGGACTCCATTCAGATCAACGCCACCAACGACTACACCAAACGATGCGCTTCTCCATCCTCGCCGTCCACTCATATATCCATTGGTTTACCACTCAATCAAAGCAATCATACTATGGATGCAAACATTATGTCAAACATTGAAAGCAATAAAGTTATGGACAAGAGTTTTATTAAAAATAATAACAACAACGATATACACGCGACTAGTGGTGAGACAAGCCATGAATCAAACGTAAAGACTCTTCAGACGGTATCACTTAAAGAGGTCAATAATGGCGCCAACGATGGCGTCCGCACTCATTCTTCCGACGCTTGTGATCACAACACTGGCCGCTATTGTAAGCATTGTATGCTTTTTGATATGATTTGCTAATGAGTTGATTGAATTGGTAGCCAATGGTGATGTGATCGTGACATTGTTGCCAGTGAACGACCATTGTGCCTGGCTCACTCCAGCCATATTCAAACCGGAACTGGTCCCCGAAGAACTCATGGCACAGTCCCTCTCTGTAAGTAGTTTTCCATCAATTAACTCATTATGACAAGTGTTTTAATATTAATGGAAAAGCGTTAGCAATAAATGAGGCGATTATCACTTTAGTAATCAATGAGACATTCATTGCCTACATATTAGCGACTTTATAATGAATTTATAATCTTTGGCCTCAATCTTCATGTTAATTACTTTTTTTAACTCACTGTATGCTGTAATACTGTGCCAAACATATTGGCTTGATTTATGTAAATTTATGTGATTTATGAGCTTTTTGTTAATTTTCTTTGTTTTATTTTACCAAACCTTTGGTATTATTGAAAATATTTATAAAGCATTAGTGAAAGCGAAAGACAATTGTTTTGCTAACTTATACGGTAATAATGTTTATTTATAGCTCACTGTCGAGGACTATGTGTCGGCGATTCAAGTATTGGTGAATGATTTGCGATTCAATCTCTATATAACATTATACAAGCGAATGCTTGTTATGTGGATTGCGTTGGGATTTATAATACTGTTGTCTCTACTGTTCAGCGGTATTAAAGGATTACCCCTTTTTGTTGGGGGAGTCATTTGGCTCGTAATCAATGTGTTCGGAATCTTTGCCACAATGTATCTCAAAGTCAAAGTAATGCTCATATTTTGTATATTACTATTCAATTGTTATTCTAGCCTTTTATGCAATACTTATATTACAATCCCATCCAAAAGCTCTACCATTTGTTGGAGAGATGTATATCACAAGTCAATGGAATGCTCTATAAGTATAACATTTTGCTCGGCGTTGACGACAGAGGAAGTCTCTCGTGTCATAAAATAAATCTCATTTTCATCTATTTTGACGTTAAGTACTGTATTGTAAGTAGAGATTCATTTGACACCAGTTTAAGTTTAAAATTACTATAAAATTCATGGGATTGTTATTTTTGCTGTGAATAATAGAAATTCTTGAATGATATGCTTGAAAATGAGACGTTGGCTACAAATGGTCAACTGTCCACCACTTCGACCATCATATCTCGTATGGATATAAACACATCCGATATCACGATCACAGGAACGCAACCCAAATCCGTGTCTCAGAAGGAGGTCTGAAACCACTTGATTTGTAGTGAATTAAACAACTTTTGCTCAAAACTTTGTCCGCATTCACAGAAATACGCGGAGAAACTGTTGCTGCGATACAGCCAGCGCTGGGTCAAGGACTTCGTGCGGCGCAAAATCGATCTGAATATGCCGTTACACGCGGACTCGGCCGGCGTCAGTGTGGCCCCATTGCCCACAACGCACCGGCACTGCACGACATCGCGATGTCTCTGTCAGTTCATCGAAGAGCACCTCAAATTCAAGCCCTTAACCCAATGCAATATTACGGAACTTTTTATGTGAACAACACGAAAGTTTTAAACTTTTTTAGAGACTATTTTTCATGCAATTTGTTACTGTATTTGTTTTTCTTTTACGTTTTTTCGATGTGATATTCAATTTGAATTTCTATTTTTAGATAAGATTTTTTAATAGGATTTTTATTTTGCATTTTTCCCCTTTTGGTGTGCCTTTAAATTACAGTATTTAATACGGAGTCGGGATTTTTATTTATACAGTATATTTGTTTTTTTTATAATACCGTACGTTATATTTTTTAGAGCTATTAATGCATTTAAATCTCTGTTGAGTTTTATATTATGAAATAAAAACTTGTAATCAACAGCTAATGTTATTAGTGATTACAGTAATTGTTTGAAACCAAGTTAATAATGAAATAAATAAATAAAATACAGTTTGTGCTCAGAGTATATTCAAAATATAATTTTATTTCAAAGCAATCATTTGGATATAGAATATATGACAAGTTTAACATAAAGTGTTTACAATATTATAAGCTTTTTATTGAGTTAAGACGAGCTCTGAGTGAAATGTAAGGTATTTCTGTAAGTCTTAAGAGTAGGAATAATTTTTAATAATACTTTCAATACTATAATAAGATAAATAAAAAGAGACTATTTTTCTACAAAAATCATATAATTCATCATTTCCTGTAAACTCATTCATCAAACCAATCGATTGTCTCATTCTGTAGTACAATATAAAGCGCTTTACTGAAGAGTCTCCTTATCAAACATGTATTCCCCGAGACCAGGACCCACTCGCTTCAAGTTAGTCACGAAATCGGCCAACTTCTTGATGGAGTCCACCTGTTCTGTCAGATAATGGGTCTCCAAGAAGTCCTGGAACTGTTTGCGTTGCGAAAAATTAATTACCAGTACAAATTAATTAATTACAAAATAAATGTCATTATTCTCAATGCTATTCATAATAATTGCAGTTTTTGCAACACATTTAGTGAACTTAAGTTTGTACACAAATAAAATTTCCTTTAAGTTTGTATTAATAGGTATTTAATAACTAAATAAATTCAAGGAATTCATATGAGAAACGGAAAATATTTTGAAGGCTTTCAACTTAATTACAAAAATAGTTTTACAAAAAAAACAGGCCATACCTGAGGATCGTTGTGTTTTTGGGCGATGCCGTGCAGATCCAACAGAGACTGGTTGACAGTCTTCTCGAGCTCGAGCGCCGCCTCCATGGCCTCCAGCCCTGAGCTCCACTCCTCTTTGGCCGGTTTGGTGACGTCTTGGAGGACAATACGACCGCCGCGTTTGTTCTGGAAGTCCATAAGCTTCTGGGCGTGTTCTCGCTCCTCGTTTGAAGACTCCTGGAAGTACTTCTGGAACCCCGGGAGGGCCACGTCGTCCCGATTGAAGTGATAGGCCTTGCAAACAATCAATTGAATCGATGCAAACAATTGAGTAAATTGATGATCATTTGACGGCATTCAGTGGTCACTTACCATCTGTTGGTAGACATAGGAGGCGTACAGTTCCAGATTGATCTGCTTATTAACGCCGGCTTCAGACTCCTGTAAATAGTTCTGTCGCACTTGACTTACTTTCGACATCTTTACCGATACCACGAATATATATCCAAACGAAAGGAACAATTAAAATAAAATTCTTATTCCGAATAAATCAAGAATTTCGAGAATATATTCTCTACGGTTATAAACAAGCGATTCGTGAGTCTTATAAATATAACAAATTATGTATCGATTATTAGGTGTTGACTATAAATAGCAATAAATTAGTGTTCAATTCAATGATAATAATTGCAATGAAGACAGAGATGATTGAAACAGTGGAGTGAATGGATGTCCGTTCAAACACTGTTGACGCTAAACACCAATTCTTGATTGTAAGCCCTGAGCGACACAACAGTCCCTTATATACTATAATACTGTATACTTAACGTTATATACTATTACTGTATACTTAACGTCGCATTCGTGGTATTCTTGGGCACAGAATATGATACGACAGGCTATGAGAGGCCGTTAGTATACATACAGAATAATCTGATTGCACAGACACTCCAGGCATACACACACGTAATGCACTGAATGGGAGGGGACGGCAGTTCACAACACTTCACTTTTTGATGAATTTTTGTATTTAAAGATTATTTGCAACCAATCGTTCAATTCATGCGTTTTAATAACTATTGCTTTCAATGTTTGGTCTTATATTTGGGCACTATTTTCATATAACTTACTTTAATTAATGATTTCCCGACAATACATATGCAATATAACAGCAATCGATTGATTAAACAAATGTTTACAGATTAATATCTACTGTATATTCCTATGCATTCAATAACTTATACTAATATTCTTGCACATAAAAAATTTCAAAACCATTAATGCATTCAAAATAACAAATAACTGATATTTTGTTTATTATTTGCTTTTCATTTCTTATGTTTGTTTGCAATGTTTTTGACGAAGAAATAGCATATGATTTGAATGATTCATCTGAATTGAGCGGAAAGTTTCTAATGGAAACATTTTGGCTAACATTTAGCATATGATTCGCAAAATTACTTTAAAAATGAGTGAAAAGTTTCTCTCAAAATAGAAATAATTGTTTCGTGTTTCAGAAAACTCAATGTCTTTTAGGGGAAAACATTTTAAAACTACTCTAATATTTGTAATAATAGTTCATAAATAATTCATTTTCCAATGAGATAGTGTTTCCCAATGTTTTTTTGTTGCACTGAATTTGATCCGTAAATGTGTGCAAACATTGCCTTAAAATAGCCAATAGTTTGAGCTTAAAGTTTAAACTTTCACTCCAATAATATTTACTATATATTCTACAAAATCAAGTTATTTTTGAAAACTTAAACTTTGTTTCCGATGAATTTCGAGACATCAGTCGATATACAGTATTAATGTTTGTTTGAGATATTTTTAATTTTAACAAATCTAAAGCAATAATTCAATTGAATTCTTGACAACAATTTTGTTATTTGGAAAATTGAGATTAAAAACATTAGATATACACAACAGATGTTTACAGAATAGTTTCCATCAAACAAAATATATTTATTACAAATACAGTAAACAATAAAATAATTAATATTAAATTTAGCCATAAGAGATCTACATTTATATTATAAATTTGATACCATATATCAGGCAATAAAGTACAGGTTTTAGAGTACAATCAATTTAATTTAATAATAGATTTTGTTTACAACATTAGTCTGAGGCCTCAAAATGAGCCAAAATATTTTGTATAATATTTCAGACAAACTACACGATCTATTCTGTGAGAATATTTTACAGACTATTTAATAAATAGGAAGCGACAATGATTAGTGAAAAATATTTTCTTATCATTCATTTCATTTATATTACATATATTGTACTGTATTTAATAGTAAACAAAATTATGTATTTTTGTAATGAATTGAATTAAATATTATTTTTGTAAAATAAGAATTTTTTGCTTATTTTTGGGTTAATTAAGATTTTAAAATACATTTGTGATAACATTTATCTGAATTATACAAAACTTAAGAAGTAAACACTTTTGAATCTAAGTTTTAAATACTGTATAATATACTGTATAAGACAATAATATTTTGTCCGATATTTAAATTGATAAATTTTAATGTATTCCGATATTACTATTAATATATCAAAATGTTAAATTCATTTTTAATAAATGGTTTCAATTCATTAATAATTAGACTATAATTTAGTCAGTGTGTAATAAAAATAAAAATAAATCAATGAATTTGAATTACACCCAAAATATAAATAAGAAAAATGTAGAGATTTGAGTGAAATTCATGTTATATTCGTGATTGACATTAGTGTCAGTAATTGATTCCTGAGAGCTATTACAGTAAATTTTGTTTTACTTTTATTGCATATTTTATACTGTGTTTAGTAATTGTTTTAGAGTCTATAATAAAGCTTTTAAATATTTAACTAAATACCATATTATGCATTAAATGCTTAAGCAATTGATTTTCTGAACTAAACCCATCTATCAAACCTTGTAAATTCACGTATAAACGCAATACTTAATTATATATTTAAATAGACATTTAATCGATTGTCACATTTACTCAAACCTTAAAAGTTTATTGTCAACAAATTGTTTCTTAAAGTCAATGTAAATCTAAAGTTAAATTAATGAACTTTGTAAAAGGTTTTAATATTGAATTAACTGAAACCTTAAAATGAAACTTTAATATGAAATCTAATACAGTATTACACATATTAAACCTAAAGGAATTCGTTGCAATATTTAGGGAACAAATAATTTTTAAACAATTTGTCACACAATTTCTATTAAAGATTAATAGTTTGTATGAGTAAAAAAGTCATACAATACTCATTTGGATTATTCTTAAAATTCTTGATTAAAATTAGTGATAAATATCACAAAATTCTTCATTTCAATACAAAAGGCAATAAGAAATGAAAGCATTTGTGAAATTCTTTTGCACATACTTTGGCAACAAGTAATTCAGTACTAATTGATAAATTATAATTACTTTTTTATATGAGTTTTTTCATTAGCTCATTGTAACACACATTTCATTGAACTGTTATATCAGCGAATGAATTGACAAGAAATTAGATCTCATACCTCAAGAATCCGTGAATTCCTCGCTGAAAAGCAACGATGACTACCATTTGTATTACTACATATGCTGTCCAATAAGAAAACATACTTTTTATTTAAACCTTTCATTGATTTAAACATTAATACACAAAATTAGTTAAACACAAAAATAAATTACAAAATATATATTTTTAAATTTGACAAAGTATTTAATAATTAAATTCTAATTCCATTAAACAATAATAAGTGACTTTTAATAAGTCTCGCGCCAGACATTTAAATATTAAAAATTAACATATTTTTAATAAATTAGATTAAAATTAATTTACATTTACTTGTCTCCTGGTATAAAGTAAATACACTTCAGTAATACTTTGATAATTAATTCTTCTTGGGTTTAGATATTATTCATTAGTATTTGTGTTGAGAGTGACAGACACTGAAGAGGCGATGATTTTTACGATGATTGGCATCATATTTGGTGTCTTCAGTGGTATTGAAATGGAGCGACGGTTCAAAGTATCCAATACTGAGATATATTTAAAGTTTCGGGCAATGGTTGGACAACAGATGCAAAGACTGGGACTTCAGTTACAAGAAGGAGTGCCCCGACATGATAGTCATGAGACAAATGAGACAAATCATAGCTCAAAAGAAAGTCAATGAAAGTCATAGACAATCACTTGAGAGACAAATGTATATATAAAACAAGTTCATCTCTTTATCATAAAATTAATTTTATTATATTCTATCAAACATTAAATCCAAAGAATTCAAACCATTTATCAAATAATTTATTAATTTTCAAACAAAATTCTCTAAAAACACGTATAAAAATACAATAAATGTTATCATTATATATAATGCAAATTCTCTGTTAACATACAATGAAATTCATTCATAAGTGCGATTAATCACCACTTAGTTACGTTTGCTGTGCGAGACTACTCATTCTCTTAGTTATTTTATTTTTGGCCGCTTTCTTAGAGGCTTACACAGTATACAAAGACTGGGAGCTCAAACTTTGTCTCGTTGAGTTTTGATAAAAACAAGAGTAGTATTTGATTGACACTCCAAACGGCTCTAAATAATGCCATTTTGTATTTGCCGTCCAAATACTGGCGAATGAACACAATTATACAGAAATAGCTGAGGAGGGCGTCGCACACGAACAGAGGCGAGTGCACTGTCCACCAGCACAACCACTCGTCCCCCAACGAGGTGTCTATCTTCAGCACCAGTAGTATTGAATAGATTAGAAGCGACACTAAAACCATGAATATCTCAAACAATGTCACACCAAACCATTTGGTGATCTCATCGAATGACAGAATCATTTTCACTACTTCTTGGCGTTCAATCAATTTTAAGCTCTGATGAGGATTTAGGACTCAATTTCTGTTGGCTTTCTTCCGATTCTTGATGTGATCTCAACTCTGACTTCAATTCTCGCAGTTTCTCTCTCTTCTTGTTTCGTCGCGCGAACCGATCGGTAATCAATCGGTGTCTCTGAGCGGCGACACTATTGTCGCCATTCATCAGTTGATCCAATTTGTCGC